CCCCGCCATGCCGTTCAGCCAATAAATTGGTTTTGAGTTGGGGTCATCAATCCAATTGTTGATATTCTTGAGTAGCTCCACTCTGGTGTTTTGTAAGCATGTCGGGTTGTGCTCTTCGCCGTGGGAGTCGAAAGAGGCACCATCTGCGATTGGTAGCTGATTGAGGGCCGTCCGGTGGTCGACGTTTTGGAGGATTGAGCTAGATAGAATGGGTATTAACTCAAGCATCACCTCGCGGACCATATCACTCACATCTGATCAAGATTCAGTGCGAACAAAATGTTTCCTCTGCATCGCGCAAGATGCTGGATAGTTCCCTCGATATCTTTGCCTTCAAAAGGCCATCTGAGCGCGCGTATACCGAGGCGACTCATTGCCTTCTTACGCTTCGAAGGTTTGAGTTTTTGCGCAAGTTCTTCAAGTCTCGAATGGCCATCTTTGATCGCCGAATCCAACTGACGAGACGCTTCCAGGTCCTGTCCACGACGCCTTTCGACGAGATGTTGAACTCGCTTTGTGATAGCCCCAAAGTCCGCAACTTCTCTGCGAAGCCGTTCGATGTCGTCTTTGGCGTTCTTGACATCCCGGGAGTACTGGAGGCAAAGAGACAACACCTTGGCTGACAGATCAACCACAGCGATGACGCTAGATACAACGCCGAGCGCTTCGGCCATCAGATGGAATTACTGTCGTCGATTCAAAATATAGTCATCATGTCAAAAGTGAATTGACCCTCGTGCGGGGTTGACGAGGCTCAGTCCTACCATCACACATAGTCCACGTGATGCAAGCCATCAGCGTGCTACAGAAGCCACGATAGAAATACACGTGATGGCAACAAAAATGTCATCACCAGCGAGAACGAAATTTCTAGAACAACAACTATTTGCAGCGCCGCAACACCGCTCCGAAAAGTTAATTGGATAGCCCATTGTCGCTCGCATTTCCCAGTGCGATTCAGGCATCATGGCGACCCTATCATTTATTGTAATGGTGATCAGGATTGATCACCTTGTATTTGTATGAGACCTTAGCGCGGCGCTAACATATCAGGGGATTGATCACTTTTCCAAAGTGCATTAATCACCTTTTTGAGAAAAGAGACTTCCTATGATCGGACTAACTCCAAATCGAAGTATATATTATATGAGTATCTGATGAAGTAATTGTAGCTTCCCTTGTACGTTTATCCTATATAACTGCAATGATATTTAGTTAAGCCTAAGATTTCTTAAATTTCTGTTGTGGTTGACCCCAGCTAAGTCTTTACCCTTTTTGTTCTAGCTGTAGCTTTCCAGTTTGCCAATTACTCAAGGAGGCTAAGCTGATATAATAGATTTACCTCTGTCACTGATGCAGGCATACGAATAAGCAAAGAATAGGGTTTCATGATTTAATTACTACCTGACAACGGGGCTCTGGTTTGTTTTGATCTATTGTTTACTTCTTCTTAGCAGCTCAGTTCACAGGGAACCATCTGATCAGCTTCTTCCCTGCAGCAGGGACATCTCTTACTCTCTACAACGGACCAATTCACTTAACGTAGTTCATCGCTAAGCGGGCCACATCACTTGCCGGGCCACTTTTCTGCACCTCCCAACTTCTAATCCCTACAACTCACCCGAAACCACACTCAACTGAATCCAAAACATCAGAATTTGATGATTCATCTGTATCTTCAGCCTCTGGACACGTTCTTGCATTATGACCGCACTTGCGGCAGATGTCACAGAGCCGTGCGGCCGTCTGATGCCGTTTTGATAGGCCCCCCTACTCTTCTATTCCTAATTGTCGTGTACCCCTAATTGTCGCCTACCCCCTGTTTATTTCTCACGTGTTTTAAAAAGGTTCATAATTAACTATTGTGCTAACCTGGGCGTCGACAAATGGGAGAGGTTGGAGAGATTAAGGGCTCGGTCTAGGCCGGATTGGTCCGGACTGCAGTCGCTTGTCAAACCCTTTTTGACGGCTTACAATGTAGGTATGGCAGAAGTATATGGTTTCAGGTTCGCTATTCTCCATTGGCGAAGCTGCACAATTTCCGCAACTTTAGTCAGAAGGTGGCAAAACCGGAACTATCTCCATTCATCCCTTGATATCCTCTAACTATTTCGTACATTCGTTAGTTAGCCATACACGTGTTAGCCATTGTTAGGGTTGGCGAAGAGAGCTTTATTATGGCAAACAGAGCTTCGATCTCGAATTAATCTAATTTTCGGTTGACAGATGCAAGAACATCAAGCCAATATACTTTTTGTCGGCCAAGTTGCGTTGTCCGCTAGTCGATGGAGATTTGGCTGATAGAACATCATTCTTCAACTTTCCCTGCTTTAGAAAAGGCCAGAATTCAAGTAGCGATTGCGTTGTTCAGGATCTGAAAGTACCTCATATGCGGTCTGGAGCTTCTTAAACTTCTGCGTTTTCTCAGGGTCATCGCCATTTTTGTCCGGGTGCCATTTTAATGCTAAGGCACGATAATAGGGGGCCAAGATCTCATCGATGTTCTCTGGAGTTATAGGATCGAGGCCAAATATCTGGAAATATCCTTTTGGATCACCGAATGATGGCTTTGTTGTGGTTGGCTTCGGGGTCAATGATGGAGGCAATTCTTCCAAGCGCTCGATGTATGCTCGGTGTTGGCGAATCAGAGCGATCAAAGACTCTTTAGAAAGAGATTCTAGTTCGTCGCAAACTCCTCCAACGCCAGTTGTAGCACCAACGCGAGATTGGAAACTAGACGGTCTGGCATTCTTGGTACTTGTACGATAGCTTGCCTTAACACCGAACAGCTCTCTTTTCTGTATGCAATCCAGTTGGCTTAGCTGAACTAGCGAATGAAAAACAAGTTTTGTTGACTCGCGGTTTCTTTTTTCATAATCATGGGACGTGGCGCAGTGTTTGTTGGGTAGCGGCACGACTGCAACGTTGAGACGCAAGAAACTCAGTAGGATCTGCACAGTCTCAGCTTGGTAGTGGTGAAGTAACGTAGATAGTCCCGCATCGAAATCGATTGCGCCGTACAGAGGTTGCATGCGGAACATACTCTGAATTGTGGAATTCCGGGTGAAGAGATCATTATGGGGTGTTCCCCCCTTTTCCGTCGCATGCTTAACAAACGACCCGGGGATCAAGTCTTCCACGAACTCTGACCGGCTCAATAAGAAGCCTTTGTTGTAAGCAGAGAATGCCGCGGCGACGGAGCCGATATCAAAACTATAGAGCAGCTTTAAGACTTTAACTCTAGCGGCGGTGGAAATAGCTTCCTCATCAGATCTAACTATATCCAGGGCCAGATGAGCGAGCAGTGAGAGTCTAAAATCGATTTGGTAACTGTCCTTCTGTGGAAGATTCAAATGTCTGGTATGAATTCCAGCGCTCTGATACATGCTGTCCAGGCTGGCTGTCCATTCCATTTCCATCCACGCAGCCTCTTGTAGAATGGATGGACGTCCATTTAGGCCCACCTTGGATGGGATGGATGGAAATG